AGGAATAATCTTTAGATTGATAAATCATAAGCTGTTCTCCAGAATCTGTCCAGCTGCTTGGTTGCTTACTCTCGCTGTTGGGAAGAATGGCATCACTCCCACTTTAAAACAGAAACAATTAGAGAAAATCAACTTTTTTGTTTTTTAAAGCTCTCAGATCTTTCTAGCCAAGTAAGGAGGCTAGTTCTTTTCTCTTTCTACAGCTGTTGTGAACAAACAGTGCTAGCCCAGGTCACTCAGATAGCCAATCTCCACTCTAATGGAGGGGTGCTGCTTTACTGCTTATAGAGCTGTATGAAGTATTTCAAGTACTTCATTAGTTCTTTTTGTGGGATGGAAACTATAGTAATGTTTAGAGGTTTCATATCTGGAGCTTCCCTGTGTAGGCCAGCTCTTGTGCATTCTCCATTAGTCCAGTTTTCCCTGTAGGTTGTTCTTGGTATGTTTAGTAGTTCTGGTTTACATAATATACATACTGCAGCTGGTAGTTCAACTGCACTACTTCTCTTTTCCCTTTCTTTTGCTCTTTTAAAAGCAAAAGGTAAAGATGAGTGTTTTGGTCACTGTCACTTGCTATGACTCTACATATACTCAAACGTTGTACTGATGAAATATATTAGCATAGTAACTTTTACTGGGTAGGCAGAATTATATTGTTATAAAGCGATGACTCCTAACCTTGGTGCACGACCCAAATCAGGGTTGCAGGGGGTCCCCCTCGCTCCACCTCTCCCGCCTGCGGGGCTCTTACGGCACATGGTCCGCGCGGCTCTTGCCACTGTTGCCCCCGCCCCCAATCCCAGTCCGGCCCAGGCTCTGCTGGTGCCATCGGGCATGAGTGAGGTAGGAGCAGGGGTCATGACCTAGATTTAGGGTTGCAGCAAGAAAAGGTTGGAAGCCACTAGTATAAGGGTACTTAGTATTAACATAGTGTCTCCTCTCTGGAAAAGGTAATAACCTATATCATTTATAAGGCACCTTTATACCAGTACAACTTGATTTACTCTAAGGTTGTACTGGTAGAAATACATTAGTTTTAAAAAAATGCACCTCTGACATAATTATACTAATAGTCCAACTTTCAAATGTAGACTGGGCCTTAGAAGAAATATGTTGAGTTAGTGGATTTTTGGTCCAGTTAGCATGAAAGAACAAGTGTCATGTTCTGTTTGCTGGTTTCCTGCAGAATCCTGACTCATAATTTACACTTTTCCTCCCTTTAACAATGTGAAACATAACACATTTTATGTTTTTTTAAAGTAGTCTTGTGACCTGTTTATTCCTCCTCTGAAATTCCAGTGTGCAGTTACCTACAGTCTATTTAACTACTGTGTTGCTGTGGAGAAATTAATGCTTAAGCATTCATTTGGTAAGAGAAAGGGAGGAGTGAGAGTACTTCATTAAAGTAAGAAAAGGAAAGATTTCAATTGCCTCCCACCATATTACTGAGGTATATTTATTTAGTATGGGGTTTTTTTTCTATTTTTGTTTTGTATTTTCTCATGCAACTGTTAGTTTTGTTGAGGGTTGTTTTTTTTCACTTAAAGTAATCCTGGAAAATGTAAGAAATGTAGGGCTTGGATTATAGCAATCTTGTATGGCCCTGCTGGTTTCCAGTCTCATATTTACAAAAATGTCAAGTATAATGGACATCAGAATATTGTAAAGCACAGAAAATATCAGGGATGTGGCTTTCATGGTGTTAGAGCAAAACTACACTTGTCAAGTGGAAGAGCTACATAGATGTATTGCCAGCTAAATGTGCTGGAGAAAATGTACTGAAATAAGCCTTAAGAGTAAAGTCCTGTGCCTGCCTTATCTTTCTATAGAGTCTGAGAGGCTGTTTCCTCCTTCCCAATGGATATTAAAGCCTTAGATTTTAAACTTTTACATTATTTAGCTATATGTCATACTTTAAATTGTTTATATAAACATATCCCTAAAAACAGCTATTACACTGAGAAATATTAGTGTTTGTAAGTTTTTGCTTATTCTTCACTCCCTTACATGGAGTTGCTGAACTTCCCTATGACTGCTCCCATTGAAAGTTTGATGTTGTGTAATAAAATTGGGAACAAGTCTTGCTCTCTTGCAGTATCTGATGGAATTGCAATAGCCTGAGAGGAAATCCCATTAGGTTGGTTATTGCAAAGAGTATAAGGGCATTTCACACTTTGTTTGATCACTTTAATAACTGATCTATTGTTGTTGCATTGAGTAGTGACCCAAAATGTTAATGGGTGTGATAGATTGGTTCCTTTTCAGCTCTAGAAATGAATTTTTGAATGAGAAATGGGTGGAAGTGCTTGTTGGCAGAAATTTATACTATCCTTGTTCTACTGTTCTGGGGTAGACTGAGGACTTCATCTGTCAAAACTCACTGATAGCTCATCTTGTCAGCACTGAACTAATTTTCAGGACAAAAGATTGTTCGTGTGATTAGTAGATTGTCCTAGTAAGCAGCAGTAACATTTACTCTGAAATATTGAGGAGCTCATTTTATTAAACAAAGGTGATGTTGCAAGTGAGTATGGCACTGACAGCAGAAATTAACCTTGAAATAAAGGGCTGATGTCCTCCAATACAAGGTTCTGCTTGGTAAGTTTCTACCTCTGCCTCCAGTATGGTGTTTTACTGTAACAATTTTAAAATACTATTATATCTTTCTCAACAAAAATGTAGACAGGGTGTCTTTTTTTTTTTTTCTTTCTTTCTACCTAAGAGTAGCAGAGGAATGAAGTATATGAAGAGAGGAACACTGTAATATGACGGGGAACTTTTGATACCCTACTGAATTTCTCAGTTTAGTGGATGTTATAGGTGGAAATGTAGTTTCTTGCATCTCTTCTCTGAGCACTTGTTTTGAAGGTCCTAGATCTTTAGAACTATGATACCTGCAGCTCAGCATCACTACTGAACTGGAAAGTAATGGGTTAGAATTGGCAGTTCGTTGCATGGTGCTCTTTCATATCCTAATATGTGAAGGAACTTGCCATTGTCTAAGTTTAGAACTACTTTTTCTATCATAAAAGGATAACATAAAATTAGAATATAGAGGATGGGTTCAGTTAAATTAGCTGGCATCCATAAACGGCTCTATTAGCCTGAGGAATATTTCTGGACATTTGGTGGGTTGGGTTTTTTTTGTTTTTTTGTTTTTTGTTTTTTCAATAATTGTTGCATTCTGTAAATAAACTCTGAAAATGCCACCCTGATTCTTCTGCTGCACCTTTATTTTCCCTAGCCTTTCTCCAAACCCTACTCCCCTGCTCCCCCTCCCCAAATAACTTGTATTTATTCTGGTCTGTTTTTATCGGTTTTTTTTATATTTGGCCATAGTTGACTTAAGTTTGGAGGAAGGTGGTAGCTACCAAGGCCCTGTTCCCAAATGCGTGTGAACACGCACCTCTTTCCTTTCCTACTTATTCACATTGTGAGATCATAATTTCTAGTTTGCAATAGCCCTGTGGCTGCCACAGTAGCAGACCTGGATAACATATGCTGTAATTCCTCACTTTGAAAGAGCAGAAAAATTGGTAGTTCCTGTCCCAGCTCTCCCAAATGCTGAAGTTTTCCAAATAAGATACTTGTAGAATACATTGGAGTCTGCTGACATTAATTGTCAGCAAAAGAGATCTGAACTGAAGGGAGTAGAAAGGGCAATTGTAGCTTAGAGTGGTGTTCTAAATGCATCACGCTGTATTTAATAGCTTTTGGAAGTAGAAAAGTTTTAAAATGAAAATTAAGCAGTCGCCACCAGTGTGATTTATTGGTGTTAAAATAAGTTCTCATTTAATCATAACTATTCTATATAGGTTTTCTGTTGTAATGTAATGAATGAAATTCCCATCTCTTTTTTTTTTTCTCTTAGAGAAAATCTGCCCACTCAGAAGATCCGTTTAATGATGAACAGCGTGAACGGCATGAGGTGGAAATGCTGGCCAAGAAGTTTGAGGCAAAATATGTGAGTGTTCATAGAGCTACTATATTGCAAATATTTAATAGTATTTACTGATGTTAAATAATGGGGGCTCAGTTTTTCCTAGGTGTGGGGTTGCCACTATGAATTCACAACTCTATTTCTCTATGTACATCAGTGGGGTTATTTCATTTGCTAAGTTTGTAATGGGAGACACTTTTTTGTTTACTAAGGGTCTATTGTTTTAAAAGAATGTGACTTGTCACTGAACGTTTGCTTGTGTATATACTGTTGAATGGGTTTCCTGAACAGCTGTGCCTGTAGTTCAGGAGTCATGATAGATCCCACAAGGGAAGATGGATTCCTGCTAGTCAGTACTGGAAGGAGACAATATCACAAGGAAGTGGTGGTGGCCCATTTTCCCTTTACTTCTGTACACCTACTCTTTTTAAAGCCAGTAGTTTTTCTTCCGTTGTCTTTCTAGAAGCCACATGATAAAAAGTCTTTTTTTTTTCCCCCCTGCATCATCCCCCCCACCCCCTCCTGTGCTTCTAGCCCAAGTAACCACTTCTTGTGTCATTAGGTAACATCTGTTGTCACCCAGCTGCTGTGTGTGTAAAAACAAAAAAAAAAGAAGTGACTTTTTGAATTAATTAAACTTAGTACTCAGTGATCTGAAATTACTACTCCTAAAATTTATCTTTGAAGCTTGTTTCTTGAATTATTCTTTTTAATTGTTGTGTAGTAGTATTGTGTCCTGTCAAATGGCTGTCTCACTTAGCCCCATATATGACTGTATATTGCTGCATGAACATTTGTTTTGGGATGTTTCTCTAGGAAGGTATTTTACAAATGTAAGCCATGTAATGATTTTTGACATGTAGCTGCCACAAGAAAAACTGTATGATTTGCTGAGGGCAAGCAGTTTCCTTATGAACTTAACACTTTTTAAAAACAAATGTGGTATGTTAACTGACGGCGAAGTAGGATTTTTTTTGTTGCTGTTCAGAGTTTGAATGAAGTATTTTCTGGTTTGTAGAGATTTAGGACAAAAGCCATAAAATAGGTTCAACTTTAAACATAACAATATCTGTAGATTAGGCACCTGGTGCCAGCAGGATGATCCAGTGGAACTGACTTAGCACTTAAGTTTCTTATTTAGGTAAGAGGGAAAATTAGGTGCCCCTCAAGGGTAATTCCCTTAAATTTGTATGTTTAAAAAAAGGAGCTGCCTAGAGCTGGCTAATAGGAAATGCTGAGCACAGGGGTGTATGAACTCTGCTCCTTTCTGAAGCTTGGATACTTAAGTCAGGGCTGCACATGGCCTTTTTGACCAGAGGCCAGCATCATTAATATAGATGCCTGACTAATCAGGGTTTACTCTTTCCAAGGTATAGCTAAAGGCGGAGGTGGTGTTTGCCAATTTACATTATTATATAGTGGTTGAAGCATTTGTCCCAGAAGAACATATATAGAACAGTCATTCAGTCTCCTTTTCATAAAAATCACTTCTGTGTTTGAAGGTAGCTATCTTGCTTCCTCCCTGTCTTGTCTTTTTTGTCTGTAAACAGACCCAGATCCTTCAGTCTTTCATCAGAGACCATGTTTTTAAGCCTTTTACTTTTGTTTCTCTTTTCTGGATCTCCACTTTGTCTACCTGTTTCTTAAAGCAAAGTACCCAAAACTGGACGTGGTACTCCAGATGAGGACTTGCCAGTACCAAATAGAAGGGAACAATTATGCATATGATATTCTGAGACATTAACAGGAATAACACTTTCTATTGCGAAAATAGGCATCATGCAATTAACACGTATCCACATATATTGTGATACAGTATAATCTCCAGATTCTTTCTTGTCAAGCAACAGTATAGCCACTTGTTCTCCATTTTGTATTTATATATTTAATTTTTTTCCTAAGGCTGGTGGTTTGCACTTGTCTATGTTCAGAATAACTTCAACTTGTTGATTTCAATCTATTTTTTTCAAATCTACTAAGATCACTTAGAATTTTGTCCTTCAGAGTGCATGCAGCCCCTCTCAGCATGGTATCATTTGCAGTTTTTAAGTGGCATCTCTTCCATCATCCAAATCTTTTAATGAAAACTCTAAATAGTACCAGATCAGGTTTTTATGGACTCGCACTTGATATGCCTTCCCAGGTCAACAGCAGATAGCTGATATTTGCTCCATGGTTTCTCAACCACTTGTGCATCTACCTTAGTAATTTCCTTTCGACTGTATTTTCCTAATCTGCTTATGAGGATGTCATGTCAAAAGTCTTATTGAAGTCAAGATGGATCACATCTGTTGCGTCCTTGCTGCTCTAGACTGGTTATCCTGTCAAAGAAGGAAATTAGATCGTTTTGATGTAATTTGTTTTTTACAAATCCATGCTGACTGTTTCTTACTGCCTTGCTACCTTCTAGATGCTTACAAATTGGTTTTAGAATCTTTCTGGCTATTAAAATTAGACTGACTGGTTTGTAATTGACTTGGTCCTTCTTCTGTTTTAACTGTTAAAACTAGTTTCTCTGTTTAATTGAACAAACAGTCTTTCTAGAACTTGTCATATGTTGGTCTGGTATATATAGGTATTCTACATGTTAGTTCTTCTGTCTTTAGGTATCTGCAAGAAAGAAGGAAATTTAAATATTTGCGAATTAAGTCAGAAATCGTTTTGCTCTCGACTTTTAGAGTAGTCAGGTAAAGTATGAGTTGGGGAAAACTTCCCAAAATCTTTCCAGTCCGCAGACCCCCATTATCACTTTTTATTCCATATTAGAAGAAATCTGAAATCTGAGCTAGAGGAATCCCTTCCAAATGAGAGAGCAGATTTTCTGTGGTCCATCTGGTTCTGGGTCGCTCTGTGTGGAGACTAGAAACAAAGGTGCTAACAAATGCAATCTGTTTATTTCTGGTGTAGATATTGCTGTACAGAATAGTAGCATATTGTAGACTCATTTTGTGCTAGTTAAAATATAGCTGTTTGGTACTAATATTTTAGGTTTTTATTTGTCTAGGAGAACTTCAAGTGAGTATCCACAAAGTGAAAGCCTCTGTCTCTCTACTTGACTCCTGAGTGGTCCACCCATTTAGAATGTTTGTTCTGTTTTAATACAATTTGTCACTTGCACAATGTGATTCTCAAATTAGCTTAACACTATTGTTTTCTTTACAGGGTGGGAAGTCTCACAAGCATCGGAAGGATCGCCTGCAGGATCTGATTGATATAGGCTATGGCTATGATGAAACAGACCCTTTCATTGATAATTCTGAAGCTGTGAGTAAATCTCATTGTAAGCCATAACAGAACATGCAACAGATCTTATTTCTAAGGAAAATGTGGGGAAGATATTATGTGCTATCTATTGTATAAATGGTATAATTCTAAACAAATGCCTCCAAGAAACTATGATGTTAATTTTTATAGTTACTTGCAGGCATCATGGTGCATCAGAAGATCAAAGGTACTGTGTCAATTTACAGTGCATATTTAATTTTCCCTTGTTATTGCCCCATAAATTATTAAAACTGCGGTTTTAAAAAAAATGACATTTTTATTAATGTCACTTGCTTATTTTGTCCTACTTCAGTCACCTTGGACAGTGACATTTCAAAGGCTGTTTGACTGAGTCTAGTACTGGCAAAATGATAGGGTCAGTGTTCTCTACTGCCAAGAAATGTTGACGTTCTACCCTCAGAATAACTGCTTCATTATCGTTATCTTTAAGCATATACTTACAGAACTGGATACCTAAAAAGTATAGGAGATAAACCAAGATGTTAAACCTCACTCTCTTTTTAAGTGAATTCTTTAACCTAAATGGATATTCTTCTGAAACTGGCAATCTTGCCCAATTGAAATAAATAAGAAAAAGTATTAGCTAGAAGCAGGCTAAATTCAGAATGGAAATTTGAAGAGCTTGAGTGGTGTATGAAGAGCTGTTAGTCAGAGATCACTAACATCAGGAAATTTTTAGGTATGTCAGAAGGATTAAGTTGGAGTATTAGTGATATTAGAGGCAAACAGGTTGTAAGAGATCATACTATCCAGGTATATGGAAAAAGTAAAAGTGATGTTCAGCTAAGTAAAAAAAAAAAAAACAAAAAAAAAAAAAAAAAAAAAAACAACAAAAAAAATTAGGCTTTTACCTAAAGGTATAAACTATAAAGGAGGAAAGCTGTGTGATGTCAAGCAGAGGAACATTGAGCTCATATATAAAGGAAGAAGTGATCAGTAGGGCTGCATGGATACAGGGCAAAGAGAGCTTTTAACAAATGAGCAATGGGAAGGAGAAGAAAATTTGACTAGAGATGTGCACTGGTTGGCATACATCATGCTGAGTCTCAGTGAATATAGTATTGGTTAATGTCTTAATTAGAGAAACTAGGTCTGGGTTTTTCAATGACAGTACTAAAAAGGAATTGTAGTACAACAATTTTTTAAGGGTTTGAGTATTCGTATATGTTGCTACTGGCGTAGAGCTATAGAACCTTGAATAGCAGATTCCAGTTGCTGTGTGTGAAGGGGTCTTGCACAAAAGGTGATCATTATGTTTTACCATGTGTAAAGTAGTTTAGTTCCTTCACTATCACTGAGAGCAGATGTTGTCTGCATGCTCTCAGGCTAGACTTTTGTTTTGGTCTGGCTTCTGACTTGGTTTGAAATAGTTAGAGGTGTATCCCAGGACAGTAAGTATAGACAGCCTTCTGGTGTTACAGGAGCTGATGGTCCACCATTGGACCATGTCGGGCCCCAGTCTGTAAAAGGCTTTCAAGAGGTGTCTTGCCTGGTGATTTGACTATAGTCCAGAGCTCAAATGTTGATGTTTTATGTTCAAATGAGACCCATTTTAACCTGGTAAATGGTTGACTTACTTTTTTTGATTTTCTAAGGCTTCAGGCTTTTCTGGCTTCTCAATGCCTACCTCTTGATACTGCAGTGCTTACTGAGGTCTTTTTAATTAGGACTTGGGATGCATTTTTGCTGCTTTGATCTTGGCACAGACTTCCACCATGGGTCAGATACCTTAGTCTTCTGCTTTATACTGTGGAAGCAGATCCGTTGCCTGGCACTGTCGGTGCCGACTAAAATCAGAATTGCCTGTTCAGGTCTTGATGTTGATCCAGAAAGTCCCTGTTTTAGCACCATTGTCCTTTGCATTGACTCCAAATCTGCCCTCCAGTGGTTCTGTGTCAGTATTGCAGCTCTTCTTGGGATCAAAAGAAAGGAGAAGCACATCTCTTCACAAGGGGAGGCATAAGCTAAGGAAAGTGCCACGTCTCTCTCCCTTCATACTCTTACTCACTAGGGCTCAGAGTCTCCATTCTTGCTTATTTTCCACACTTCTCCAGAGTCAGACATCTCAGCACCAGCTCACTTGAACTCCTTGTAATTTCAAATTTCAGCATGCCCAAGTGGGGATCCACCTTCAAGACTGCTGGCCATCCTCCATCATGCCTTTTTTATCTGATGTCTGTACTTGGTGTTTCCAGTCTTCATCTTGAACAGTTCTCAGTACCTTTTGACGTCTTCAGTGATGAACTTGGAAGATCCTAACTCAAGGCTGAGACTCTGTCTTGCTGCCTCATGTAGTTGTGCATATGGGATTTCATGCAACCTGCTTGAGGCAATGAGATTTAACTCTACCAATACTGATGCCAATTTTTCTCACACCCTGCCTTATCACCTGATGCCAGTGTTGCTAGCACCAAATCCTTTCATACCTGTAGGCCAATTTTATTTGAAGGATCAAGATGAAATTTCTTTCAAGGAAAGAAAGAGAGAAGGTAATGCCCCTTGCTAGGAACATAAAGGGGTACTACTTCTTTGACTAAGACCAGTTTCAGAAACTTGGAGGAAGACTGGCAAATGCTGTCCAGCTGCAAATGGGGATTTTGATGTTGAACACACATTGTTTGTGTCAGTGGCCTGTATCAGCTGTATTTGAGAAGCTGGCTGTATTGGCTCCAGCCATCTCAAGTCAGGCAGAGAGGTTCTTCTTCTCTATTCCCCATGTGTAACCAAGACAGCCTATAAGGTGATTCCTGCATCTGCTGAAAGACATATTACTGTTGCAACATCTTTTAGCGAATGTCATCGTGGTATCCACGGCATAAGAACATTTGGCTCCAAAAAGTCATCTTCCTCCTGAACTCTGAGGGAGTTTTCCTACTTGCCTTACCTCCAACAACAGACTCCCTGACAACACCCAGAGGTACAGCCCCAAAAATAATGTACCGCTTTCTATACCTGCTACTGTCAAACAGTAGTACAAAAAGCAAGATTCAACAGCTCTCAGGCTTAGTCATCAAATGGTAATTTTGTGGTGTAGGTGATAGCTACTCGTGTGATTCCAGTCCTCCCTTCATTATTCTTTGCCTGAAATTATAAGTACTTTCAGTTGCTAACTAATGTATACTACTTCTGTTTATGTATTTCATACAGTTCCAAATGTAGACACTTTTTCCCCTCTGCTGATTGCCTTTTCAAAAACCCTATCCATGACAGTCTGTCTTTGGAAGAAGGGATCCCCTTTTCTAGAAAGGAGCAATAGAGAAGTTTCTGCAGGAATCATAGAAGAGAATAGAAATAAAATCTGATTTCCAACAGCAGAGACTGCCTGGGCAGAGCCCCTTGGACTTCATAGATTGTAAGGCTGCAAGGGACCTCAGAAGATCATCAGGTTCAGCCCCCTGCACCAAGCAGGAAGCTCAACAGCTGCATAAATGCTCAAGTTGAGGATGCTTGCCCTACATCAGATGTAGGCAAGATATGGCCCACAGGCCGGATTTGGCCTACCAGGTGACTGTAGCTGTCCCTACAGCACTTGGTCTGGGACCAAGGCGATGCCCATAACCTGACCCCAACCAGTGCATGCAGCTTCTGGTAGGCTGTTCCCAGTGCAGCTGTAACCAAGTGCTCCTAGAGCTGAACCTGGAGTCCCATTTGCCCACCAGGAATGCTGGATGTGGAGCAGGAGCCATTGCTGGAGGCAGGGGGCATAGAGCAGCACCTGGCTGCAGCTGCACCAGGAACAGCCATCTGGAAGCTGCCCATGCCATGCCAGACCATGTCATTCCAGGCAGGTGGGCAAGCAGCTTCAGCCAGGCAGCTCCTGTCCTAGTACGTGGGGTGAGAGGGGTGGGAAGGAGCAGAGCAGCAGTTGCCGGGTGAGCTCTGCTGCATGGACTCCCCCCACCCACCCACTGCAGGCTTCTGGGATCTAGTGCTCAGACATGCTGCCCCCACCCCCACCCTAGTAGGGTTATGCAGGGAGCTGTTGCTGCTCTGCTACCTGGCCCTGTGATTTCACCCTTGACCACCCCCCCACCCCCCTCTTCCCACTCCTGAATACCGTTCTCTGCCTGCCTGCAGCCTCATAGGGAGTTTTGGTGAGTTGTTGGGGAAAGGGGGATGGTGTTCCTGACTCAGCCTGTGACAGCTCATCAAAACTCCCCACATGGCCCTTGGGCCCAACTAATTGTGCACACCTGCCCTGCGTTGTACTATCTTGGGGGGGGAGGGGGAAGCACATTCTTATTTACTGGAGGTGCTTGCTTTTATGTGGAAATCAACACATACATAGTACCTGAGACTTCTGGGTGAAGGACAGTACAATTTTTGGTGTGTGCATGATGTCAGGTCTTCACTAAGTGTCTTGTGGCTGCTGCACAGCTTGGATCCCCAGGATATCTTTGTCTACCAGTACCTAAATGAGCTAGTCCTCTATCTTCAGCACTCCAATATATACAAATTTCTTTTCTAGTTTTGAGGATCATTGAACAGCTGAGACACCCATGCTTCAGCCTGTACAGTCTTAAGTACTACCCAGGCTGGAGCCTTTTCTCCCTGCTTTCCTCCCACCCCCCCAAAAAATGATCTTTTTTTATTTTTTTTTTCTTCTAGTAAGCCTTCTGATACCTCATGCAATAACTGATAGAGAGCATGTACATTTTCTTAACACTCCTAGGCCTGAGGGCTTCACCCTTTTTTTTTTGTACTGCTTTCTTGCCTGAACATGACAGCCTTGTACCACTTGTAATACTAAGTGCATGTATCTAGCTTTTCAAGGAGACTTGGTCTCCTTGAAAATTGTGGCTGCTTCATTGGTGGGAACAGGTGTTGCTGTAACATGCATAAAATTACCATACTTCTGGAGAGGTGTCCTTTGCTTGCCCTACTATACACCTGTACCATAACCACCAATGTATCCAATTTTGCCTGGGGTACATGCAACTAAGACTTCTACATAGCCCAAGAGGCTAATCTTCATACCA